TATAGATTTAAACCCATATTTTCAATGTTCATCATTACCCAGGTAATAGAAAATGTTTTTAATTAATTTTTTTTTATTAAAAAAAACAAAGAAATACATTTTGTTTTTGTTTTTCTTTAGTCATTGGAGAAAGAATAAATCACTTCGTTTTATTTTACGTACAAAACGTCATATCGATATAAAAACAAATACACGTGTTGTTATTTTTGCTGGTAATGATTATAATCCTTGTGCAACACTTAAAAATAATGTTAGTTGGTTTCGTGGTGGTCAAGCAGAATTTAATGATTTACGATTTTTAGGCGCTAGTGGAAGAGGTACGAATAGAAAATAATTTGTTATCTTCTATGATAAAAAAAGACTTAAGTAAATATTTATTTAGGTAAAAAATTTACATTAACTATAGTTATTGAAACAACACCACCGCAACAATGTACTTATCGTCGCGCAATCAAAATAACAGTTGACGGTCCAAGAAAGAAACGTGACTTGAGTAAGTTTCATGAAGTTGCTTTTTCATTTATGATATTTACGAACAATTGTTTTTTTTTGTGTTATTTAATTTTAGAAGTGAAGTCAGATGTGAATGAAATTCAAGCAGATGAATCGAATATTGATGGTGAATCGGATAATGAAACAAATACAACAAATTATTCGATGACAACTGAATCAAAATCATTCACAAGTCAAGGTTTGTTTTTTTTATGAAAATTTACTTAAAAAAATAAATCATTTTATTTTTTTTTAAAGGATCATCTGGATTACTTTTGCTTGCTGCTGCAGCTGAACAAAAGCGAAAAGATGACGAAGGTATTATCGATAGTTTTTCTTTTAAACAACAAAAAAATTAAATAAATTTTTATAAACATGATTTAGATATACCAAATAATCGTCCATTTCAATCAGCTCCAATGGAAATCACATATTCATCAAAATTAAGTGATACAAGTTCTCCCATAACCAGTTGTCTTTCTCCATCATCATTAGCTTCACAATTTTCACAATCCATCGGCTTTTCTCCAACATCATCATTAGATGATTTCAATTCTCATTTATCACGTCATGTCTTTTTACCTAATCAAAATCAATCAAAACCAACAACAATTCCATTAACGTCTAATTCACCAACAACAAATTTAATATTTAGTTTAACACAAACACCAAATCATTTCGATTTTTTTCAGCATCATCAACAACAACAAAGACATGATCAACAACCTATTGTTGAAACATCCAATAATACTTCATCGACAAATACAACAACTAAACATGTTTTATGTCGATAAAAAATATTAATATTGCATTTACACACACATACAAATATGCTTATAGCTTCAAGCAGCAATTTGATAACTGTGAACAACACATTAACAAGGTGCGTGCGTTTGAAATTATATTTTTATGAACATCTACGAAACCGGATTCCTTTTTCTTTTTCTCCAGTCAGATGATATTTTTCTTTTATCAACTGACTGAAAATTTTTCTTCGTTTGACATTCCTATTTGTTTCTTTATATCCCGAAAGACGAGAACGATTGTTAACAAATCAATTAATCGGAAAGAAATTTATAGTAACTGATTTAATATCGATGCCGTGAGCAAAAAAAATTCTTTTTTTTTCTTTCGATTTTCTTGTTTTATATATAATATTAGAGTGAGTGGCACCAACCTAGTCTATAAACCGAAACACACTGTTTACATTGTACATAGTTTTTCTTGTGTATATATGTATCTGTGAGTAGAGTTTTAAGTCAGATCATGTTTGTTTGTTTATTTGAGCTTTCAATATGAAAAGACCGAAACATCAGTATATGCCCATGGGCAATATACATAAATCATAGAAAAGAAAGATTTGAATGATGGAAGATATCTGTTGCTATTGTATTTCGTCTTTCGTGCAATACTGGCGAAGAGGGAATTTATTTTATTTATTTTATTTCTTCACTCCATTTCATATTCAATATTAACTTGATTGTGTGTTGTGTTATTTCTTTTCTTTTTCTTTTCCGTTATTGTTCGGTGTAGTCTGTACGTGAGTGAAAGGGAACTATGTTCTAGCATAGTTGACATGTTGATACTGATATCGTTGTTTCGATGTTAAAAAAGAAAACCTCGTTTTGTCCATTCTATATATATTTATATATACATATGACCTATTTTTATTTTCTTTATTTTAACAAACAATTAACGGTTTAAAAAACCTAATGTTGATTTGTTTTTTATTTGTCACGTATATTGAGCGATCTGTTTTTTGGTGTAGAAAGTACATGTGAATCTCATCCGGTTTTGTTCTCGACAAAAAAAAAACTGTTATATGATGTGTGTCTTTGCAATTTAAGGTTAAAGAATTTAACGTTCATAAACGAAAAATTATTTAAAGAAAAATTGTTTGTTCTTCTTCTTCTTTATACTACTTATCTAGCAACTAAGTTGTGCTTGTCTATTTTTATTAAATTTATTTATTTGAAAGAAAAATAAAAAGAAAATGGATGTTATCTTGTTATTCGTTGTTTTTTTTTGTATAAGTTTGTGTACAGTATGGACTGAAGTCGATATTAACCTATATATCTATACATATATATAATATATACACATATATTTTTTATAAGTTATATTTTATTCTTATATGCATGCGAAGTTTGGCCGGTGGAAGTAACTATATGCGCAGTCGGTTTGTTTTACATTTTTTTTGTCAGTTCGGCGAATGTTTTTTTTTTCACTATTGTTCCTCTTATTTTACGTTTTACTGTGTGTGTATTTTCGGCTTGTAAATTTTTCGTTTTTTTTCTCTTTTCTTTCATTGTTTAAAGTTCATAATTGTATTTAAGAAAAAACAAAAAATAAAAAAACAAGTATCAATGAATTTTCATATATATTTTTTATTTATTGATTAGCATTGTTTTCAAGACAAATTTATTGTATCATGAAATAAGATTTCTGATTATTTTTGATTTTGTAGTGTATACGAAGTCATATACAAATCAAAATAGAATAGAAAATATAAATCTATAAGATATTTTAGATATTAAAAATAAATTTATTTAAAAATTATTATCCAATGAAAATCATTGAATAAAAATAAAATCTATAAATTATTGCAACGATCAAACGCCATTACTATATTTTTGCAGTTTGCTTGAATTTAGGTATTTGTTATATGATCATTGCCAATTATGCTACAGAAGAAATGTTCTTAAGTTCTTTGAATACCTCGATTATGACAATCAAGTTATTTTTTTATCGAATGAAAAAAAAATGGAAGTATCTCATTCCTTTCATTTTAAAATGTTTTGTATAAGTAATATTAACTAATGGATTGACTACTGTGAGCACACAATATTTGTTTAGTATTTGAATGCCTTTCATGACTAATAGTATTCATCTTTGTGATAATTTATTACTAGCGAGTAGGTGACAGACTTCAATAATAGCTACATGATGTCAGATTAGTAATAACTTTCATACACGTTATAACACATCATTATAGTTATAACTGTTGCAATTCTTGAAGAAAAACCTTCGTGTATTATTCAGATTTCTTTTGAAATTATTTTCACGAATCACTAGATATTGATAAGAGTAAATGAATTGATTACATGAACACTCTCTTTTGAAATGTTATTATCTTTAATCATTTGAAATAGAAGAAAAAAAAAACACTTTACTTGAAATTCGAACTATGGACACTATAAATAAAGTGTTATCCTACTCAAATAAAAGCATATCATTTAACAAACACATGATGATTTGTCTTTGCCCGTCAGCTATTAGCACCGGAATTTATTAAAATTGCAATTAATATTTTTCAACCAATGAAGAAAAGATGTTTCGTAGAAAAACAAAATGTGGCTTTTAAAATATAATTACCTATAAACGTTTGTTTGCTTAAAGACAAAAATAGTTTTAATGTAGACAATAGTGAAATGAATTTGAAAGACTACTTTATTCACATGATTTATTTGCTAACCAATTGAAAACAAATGGTTTTAACAAAAAACATTCATAGATGAAACCATTTAGGAAGAACTCATTAATTGTTACAACTATCAGTAATAGTTTCAAATTGAAAATTAGATTGAGAAAAACAAAGTTGATCAAACTCTCTAATTTAACATTGATTCCTTTGTCAAAGAAACTAATATCTTCATCGTTTATATTTAGGAATTTAAAGTTTGTTCGAAAATAAGAAAAATTTATGAAGATAAAGTCTTGATGGACAACATATAACTGTAAAATATCATATTCATCATATCTATTTTTTATATTTCATGCAATTGAATGTTATTTAAGATAATTTAGCTCATGTATTTTCTTTTGAGAAAAATTATACACAATCTCATAAAAAACGTCCCTGTAGAATAGAATTTCATCCTCCAAAATGATAATTTTCAGCAAAAACAAATATTCATTCGATTTAATATTTAGACAAATCAACGAAGAATATAACAAAATAAATGTTTCTAGTGACCAGTGGAAACTGATCCCAATGAAAGTTCATCTTCAATGCCAGAGCTTGTGGACCATATTGAAATCCTTTCAACTTTTATCGTTTAAAGAGTTCACTCTAAAAAATTAAGACATGTGAAGTGTATTCACAAGAAAGTTTATTCACTTATACAAGACATTTTGAACTAATCCTGATTGAGTGTGGGTGTAAGTGAGCGTGGTTGTAATGTATGGGAACTCAGGTCGAACAAGCACAGTCGTAAACGATCGTATACGAAGAAATATGACCAAATACATGGCTCAGTATTACGATCGTAAATCTCCGTGTCGTATACTGAGTAATACAGCGATATACGAAGAAAAATACGGTCGTTTACGATTTTCATATATGCAGTCCGTATATGGTAATCGTTTTACTCCATATTTCTCTGTAAACGATCGTATCGCAGCGTATACGATCACGATGATATACGATCGTAATACTGAGCCATGCATTACGGTAAAATACAGCCGTAAAGGATCGTATCGAGGTCGTATACGATGTCCGTAATCGTCGACCTGGGAATGAGTGTGAGGATGGGTGTGCTTTTTTTAGGTCTATGTAAACAGTAGAACTACATCCACACCCACCCACCCTCGTTTATGGCATTGTTAATAGTTGTTAATGATTCTTCGTCCATTTTAGCACCGGATTTTATTATTTCTAGATAATATTTATTATAAAATTTTTGAAAATTATCTAGTTCTGAAGTTGAATTTGTTTGTTCTTCGTTTTTGTTTTCCAACTCTTTTGTTACTTGTTCTATAAACGAAATAAGCAAATGAGCAGATGGTTCTTTACCCAGGAGGATCATTCCGGCCGTCGGAAACGGCGTCTTATCCGACCTGGAACGGCTATAAAATGGCGAATTACTGCATTCATTTTGGCCTTATTTCACAGTAATCCGTTATACCGTATTACGAACCGTTTCTATCGCTAGAAAACGGTCGTCGTTTTTTTTCGGTTTTGCTTCCATAATCTAGTATGACGGATTATGGCGCTGTTTATCGACGTTTTACATCGTTAATCACCGTTTTGTAGCCGTTTCAGGTCGTTTACGACGCCATTTTATTGGATCCGGGTAAGTGCTTGCATGCTGGATTGTTTTCTGCAAACAAATATTTCAAAAATTTAAAAAAGAAAATAAAAGATTATATTACTCTAAATCAATAATTTCTTTGTGTAATTCATCTAATGCAATATTTTGGTGCTCATTTTGATGTTTTACGTTCAATAATTCTTTTTTCATTTGATTAATATCGTTTTAGAAGAATTGACAGAAATAAAAAATAAATTAACAATACTAAGACAATAACGTACTGATAGTCGGGAATAGCAAGAATCAAGACCACCAATAATAAGATTAATTTTTGCTGTCTGTATATTGTTCAGATCAATTAATTGAAGTAAATTTTTTATTTCGTTTAGTACCTTTTATATATTATTTCATAAAGAATTGTCATTGTTGATATCTTTTGTAATTTTTCGACAATAACCTTCAAAAAGTTTTACACAAGTTAAAGGAAGATCGTGTGATTTTCTACAAATATGAAGTAAATAATTAGTTAAACCAAGAAACTTTTTAATGTCATTTATTTCATTTTCTTCTATTAGTGTTGAACTAATTTTTTCAGCTTTTTCAAAATCTCCAATTGATTCAAAATACATCGCACTTAATGTTATTAAGAGAGGACTTGTTTTTTGGAATTTTTTTTCTATTTGTTCAAGACATTGATAAGCCATTGATTTTTTTGAACAATGTAAAGCTGATTTGAATACTTGTTCAAGTATTAACCATTTTTCATCTCCTAATGTTGATAAATGACATTCTGACAAAATGTTTGTCTATAATTTAATTATTTCATCATGTAAATGATAATCTTTATCACGGTATTTACGAAGTTTTTTAATAGCTGATTCCATTTTGTTGCCTAAAGATGATGTTGGATTGTTTTAGAACACGAAAAAAATATAAACGATAGACCAAATGTAATATGGATCAATCCTTTACCTAATACTTCGAATTTTGATAGGTTACCAACTAAAGCCAATATGATTAAGATTTAGATTGGAAGTCGATACTTATCTTTCGATCTACAATCAAAAAAAAAACGTGTAAAAAGTGTTTTAATATTTCTATCTGTACGTAAACAAACAAGTGAATAAACATCTACTCCATGAAAAATCTGACTTATCTGTTCTCTTTAAGTTTAGAATCTTCAAATATTTTAGTAGTTTTCAGGTCTAGAAAGCAAACTGATCGTTCTAAATTATTCCATCAACTAGTTCTCTCCGAACGAGTAATCGAAAATCAGAGTTACTCAACACTTCAGGATATTTCAGATGTTCAAAAACTGAAATTCATTATGATTATTTTTTTACTAGGACTGTAAGCATATTTCTTTAATTGAGGATGTTAGTTGTATACATTTTATACATTTCTTTGAAGTATATACTTTACTTACAAAATTTTCAAGCAAATATTGGAGTGATCAAAAAAGCACAATTTATTCACAACTTTAAGATCATTTTTTTTATGAATTAAAAAATATAGAATAAAGTTGCGTTTGTTTTCTATCAGTAGTAATAAAAACAAACTCTCTAGATGAATACGTGAAAACAAAAAAGCACGAGTTAAATGTAAACGGTAGAGTATCGACAGAAACGAGCAACGAAATAAAAGTTTCTTGTAAATCATTACAATCCAAACAATTTGAAGGTCATATCCATTTTTCGACATCTTCAGCTTTTTGAAATCTATAACAGAAAGATATTTGACAGGTAATTCTTATCATACATCTAGTTTATTAATAACAAGAGAAATATTTAATCATTTCAATGAACAATAAAAAACGAAACAAAAATAGAAACTTACAATTAACCGCCTTGGGTTTTCGATCTGCATCAACATTAGAGCCCGTTATGTTCAAAATTTTCAGACTTGAACCAACCTAACGGGTTCTAATCAACATTCACTAGAATCAAATTTTTCTTTGTCGTTATTTGTGACAGATTATTCAAAGTAACCACATAGTATGACATGGATGATAAACATTGTTAAATTATTCAGTCTGGTTTCATTTATTGCTATTGAATATGTATTTGGAAAACAAATTTTCTTGATCATTAAATTTCTATCTATCATAATTCATAAGTATTACTTTGTTAGACAAAAAAAAACCAATCATATTTTAAAATCAACAATAGACGTTCAATTACATTTATTGAGTTTAGTAGTTCTAAAGACAAATCTATGTTGTGTATGCTTTATTCTAATCTAAATGTAAACGTAAACTATGATAGAGATACAACAGACAGAACGAAAACTATATAGATTTATGCAGTACATGTTTCATCGAATTTTTGGACGTGGAGAAGAAAAATGATTATTGTTCATTCGTAATGTATCACGAAAACGATATGCATCAATTAATTGGCGAGATGAAGACGTTTGTTTATTTGATTTACCTATGAAAATAAATAAACAATTATATTTCATCTCAAAAGAAACAATCTTACTTAATGATTGTCTTTGTCTAGTTCTATTTAAAGTAAATGTTTTTTTAGATGAACTATTTTGAATTGAAAAATTTTTTCGATCATTATTTAAAGTGTTTTTTTCATCAATAGAAGTCGAACGATTTGATGTTGTTGATAATGATATTGAATTTGATGGTGTCATTATATGTCCAATAGTTTCACATCGATCTTTTTCTGTAGCTAATGAACCACTAAGTGATGACATTGATAATATATCAGGTGGATGTGTAATTGAATTCTATAGAAGATCATTGTTTTCTTTTATTATGAATATGCGAAAAGTTCTATCAATAATAGGTTGTTTTTTATTGTATGCTAGTGGCTTCTAATCTCCATATGGAGTTTCTTCTAGTAGTTAGAAAACATCTGCACTACATATTATCAGTGAGAATCTTTTTCTAGTTGTGTTGAAAACTTAGAGTAGTGTGGAAATAATGTATGACTGTTATGTGATACAATTATTGGTAGTAAAATGTAGATTTATCATCGAAAGATTGAATAAAGATTATTTTTTGATTACTGAACTATTACTGCAGAAGTGCAGAATCTACCGATGAAATGAAAAATTTCCTCTACTGTCAAAATAAGAAAATCGTTTTTTTGTTAAATCTATAGTGATTTAACAAAAGAAAGAGAGAGACAAGATTACTTAAAAAATAAGATTAGTTTCATTAATAATTGAATAATTTTGATACTCTCAGTATTTGTTCATTTAAGAAATCATTTATCACAACCGAAACAGAACATAAAAGTGCCCATGTCGGATATTGTTCACTTTTTTCAAAAAGTGATACTAGTTGTCTCAAGTCATGATGGAATCATCGAGCTTGAGATAATGAGTTGAGTCAGCAAACTCTTCGGCGATTTTCATTTGAATGGTCGAACCTATCAACAATATTTTGAGATGATATCTGCCGTATTTGGAGCCAGGTACTCATAGACATGTCACATAACTACCAGAATATCCTAAGAATTGAACCTCAAACGAATGTATTCTTCCATAGAAAGTTGTCTCAGAGACTTGATATATCAAGAAAAATATATTCATTTGAGCTGAAATTTTGAAAATATTCTATTAGCCATGAGATCTGTCTATAGGCAAAAGTTCAGATGAATATCTCGTCTTCGAATTTTCTATGAATGACTAGATCCAAGGCAGAAAACCTACTAAAACGGTCATAACTCTGATTGAATAATCCATGGACTTGAACTCATTTACGACTTTCTTAGTTTCATTCAGCCCTACTCAAAGTCGAACGGCGTCCGACAGTTAAGTGTTCCCTTGTTAGTAACTAAGAAAAGATTACGTTGTAATTTATAATGGATACACCATAGTCGACTAGATGTTATATATATGATAAATACTCAGAAAGAATGAACATAAGAAATGATCGCCGAAACGAAATTCACAAACATAGATGATCGAAAGGCATTCGGTGATGAGGAGGTACACAACCACAAATTGAAGGCAAGGATAAGAGTGATGGTGAGCAAGGTAACGATTTGAGCTAACTGATTAGCTAGCCAACGGCTTGTGGAAAACGTTTCGTTTATGTATATTAGGAAAAAACACAAATGTTAATCTTAACTATAGGTGTGATGCATTCAATAGTAAAAGAATAAATAGTTGAACAATCCTCTATTAGGTTATCGGTCACAAAATTCGTATACGAACTTAATGTCTTCATTGTAATAAAAGAAAACTTTATTTCCTAATTTCCTCCTATGCGCATAGGTACATACGAATAGATTCTGTACGTGTGTGTTACTTGTTCATTGAGTTTGCCTTATAGTTTATGTTAGCACTTATGATTTTAGTTATTCAACTATCTTAAAAATAAATTTAATACTTATAGAACAAGTACAAAATGATTATTTAAGGATAGATTGAAAAATTTTCATAAAAATCAATTTACTCGATCAGACATTGATAGTTTAGTTTTTTGAATAATATTATTTGTTTTTGTTTGATAATTTCGATATTTATTCATTAATTTTATAAAACGTTCAAGAAATTCAAAACGATATTTTTTTGTTAATTGTTCAAATTCTTGTTGATAATGATTATAAAAAAGATTTATATTTGAAAGTAAATGTTGAGTCATTTGTTTAATAGATAAATTTAATGCATGACCAAAATGATCTTGAAATTCTTCAATAATAATTTCAATTATTTGACGTAATTCATTTTCTTCATTTTTATTTAAAGAAAATCTTTTTATTGATATTATATTATTATTATTATTATGATTTAAATTTTGAATTAAATGAAAACATGATTGACAAAACAAATTTGATGATATATGTGATGAATTAGTTTGAATTAATTTTAAACATTTTTGACAAAGTTTTTCATGATATTCATTATTTAATTCAAGAAATTTTTTTCTTGATGATAAACATTTAGTTTTATCATGATAATAATTATTATTTTTTGGTAAAATTATTGTTGAGAATTTTTTCTTAATTTGTCTTGAATGATTATTTGTATTATGAGATTTTAAATAACATGAAAATCTTGTATAAGATGATTTTTTTCTTGAATTAATTGATCTAGTCATTGTTTTTGATGTTGAATGATTATTTGAACTATTTTGTCTAGTATTTGTTTCACTTAAACTTACAGCTATGATACTGGATGAACGATGAGAACTTTAAAAAATCAAAAAGAAGAAAATAGGCTTGTTTTTTTATGATAAATAATGCGTGATCGGAAAAGTTTTTAGACAAGATATTTGTTCACTTTTCATCTGCTAGAAAGTATTTCCGACAAGTCAAATCCGCCAAGTTAGGTTGCTCTTTTCGAATATGGGCTAATAAGCCTTGCAAATCGCAAGATATTGGTCTAAACGGAACTCTTTGGTCGACGTTTCTGAGGAATATATTTATTCATTTTGGGTTGCTGAAAAGCATTTCAGACGAGCCAAAAACTATAGGTCACGGCCAGAATTTTATGCTTTTTTTAAATATGGGTTTATGAGGGAACTACTTGAACTAAGATCCACTGTTTGATCTCATATGGAGTTCAAAGGAGGCCTCAGTAAGACTAGAAAAATCCTAAAAGGATTCGTATTCATGAGTCTCTGCAGCCGAATTATGATCGTTTTACTGAATTTTTGATCTAGCTTTCTGTATTTACCGAAAAATAAAATAACAATATTTCGATCTAAAATTTTGCCCATAAACAGGGTACTTGACTAATAGAATATCCTGAAAATTTCAGCCGAAAAGAATGTTTCTTTGTGGAGATATTGAATTTTCGAACAATGGGCATATGCCACAAAAATCGAGTTTCCTTAAAAATTCAATACATCAACAAAGGAACATTCTTTTCGACTGAAATTTTCCGAATATTCTACTAGTCATTCGACCTGTTTATAGATGAAATCTCAGATTGAAACACCGTTATTTGATTTTTTGGAAAACACCTAAAGCTGGATCGAAAATTCAGTAAAGCGGTTATAATTAGGTTCCAGAGACCTATGGGCACGGATACTTGTAGGTTTTTCTAAAGATTGTCGAAGTCGATCATTTTGTAGAGCGGACATTTCTCTGCAACATGTGATATTGAACTGAACTGTATCTTTTATTCAAGCGATACTAAAAACATTGTTCCAAGAGCTCCTTTCAATCTAAAAACGGTTGTTGATTTTTCAAAAATGAGTAATTAGGAAAAACGAAAATTGAGGTGCTTTGCTGGAAAATAAAAGAAACCTCAAATAGTGCATTTTATACGGCAGCTTCTGATCTACAGGTTAATATATAAATAAAGATTCTAACTTTTAGTTTCAAATGGTCATAGTGAAAATACAAAAAATTTTCGTTCAGACTAATCTTTTAGACTTTTCAAAGATTATTTCATTACTCTCGAATAAAAACTGAGACAAAGTTTCTAAGTCCATATACGAAAAGAGCATCCCAACTCATAGCTTTTGATTCATTAGCAAATACTTCCTAACCAGTCAAAAATGAGTACCACCTTATCTAAAACCTTTCCGATTACCAGTTAAACAAAAGTTTTACGTTGATTTTGATGAAGACTTTTTTGATTGTTCTTCTAGATAAATAAATAACGATGAATTTTATCTTGTTCTTCCTAAAATTTGAATATACTTACGAACAATTCGTTCACATGCATTCGAAGCAATTTGACGATAACGTTTTTCATCATATGAACTTGTTTGTAGAAAAAGTTTTGTCCAAAAAAGTTGATTATTATCTGTTGATGTTGTTTCTCGACATTGTACATGAGAATTAGTTAATTCTTCTTTTTCTATAGGCCATGCTCCAATATTCTATAGAATTCATTTTTGATGAACATCAATTAAATTTCAATAAGCGAAACAAAGTATGAATTCAAAATAAATTAGCAAATAAATATTTATAATTGAATAATTTTTTTTTTCTTTGGCATTTTTACCATATTTGATATTCGTGAATAGAAGTGAAAAAGTTGAAAAGCGAATAATGAACTTGAACGATCTTCAAATATATCTATAAACAATAGATTTAACTTTTGAATTGAATGATAAATAAATTTAGTATAGTTGGATAATAAAATCATCAGAACTAGACTTTTTTGACAGAATATAAACTAACTTTTAGTATACTACAGTCTATCCTAAGATACGGCTATCGTAAAAGTGTATCTTTCACATCGCTGATATGTATTACAGATTCGATGTTTTTATTTCCAGATAGAAGCAAATCAAAAGATCAGAAAATTTTACCATAAACGATTCTCATCAAGGTCGGTCTTTATGCAAAGTTTCAAGTCAAAATTTGAAAATCAGTTTTCCTAGTATTTCTAAGGAGAATTACAGCATTGAGTTAAAAAATATCGTAAAAATGCAGTATCTCGGCAGCAATAAGCTAAGAGCCCGATCTTTTTTCAGGATATTCATAACTTCTTAAGGCTTGCATAATGCACATAGTCTCGACTGAAAAGCAATTAATCAGTTGGGAAACATTCCTTGTTAGTCTTTAAAAACTGAGTTTCTCGTATTGATACTGCACTATATGACCTTGATATTAAACTTACTAATACTTTAAATAATGTACAATCTTTTTCGTGGATATACATGTCTGACTTCAGATATTTTTGAAAAAAGTCATACGTATCAATTAATTAGATTAATTCCCATCGGATGTGAAAAAATAGAAAGAGAAGGAGCGCCATCTTTCTATTTTTTATGCCATTCAAATGAAATACAGCTAGGCGTACACTTAAAAAAACACGTCAACATTTGTTTGTATTCAATTTCGACTATCGAAAGAAGTGTGTTCGATCCACTTAACTGAGAAAAAAAATAATGATGAAGCAGTAATATTAACAGAGAAGAAAAAAAAAGGGAATTACATTATGGATTTGCTCACTTCATTGAAAATATTTCTTAGACATGTAAGCATAGATACTGAAGGCAATGAAAACTTTCAGCAGCATGTACTGCATAAATCTATCAATCTAATAAGAACAAGAAACAAATGTTTGAGTCTATCCAAGTCTCATGGCTCCGATGCTTATGGTTAGATTAAATCAAAAAAAATGAAAGATAACATACCTGAATATAGTAAAAGAAGATGTTTAATCGTCGCATAATTGAACATGTGAACAAATTCATTTATTTTAGCTCCAAATCTATTTCCATAGTAACATTTCATTGATTGGTTATTTGCATAAACCAATATAAAATTATTGATAGACATCACTTGTTTTTTCTAAAAGTGCATAAATCACTTAAAAAAAATCAACAATAACGACACGTTAAAGAATTTAAGTATCGGAGATGCAGCATTTTTGAGGAGGTTTCGTTTGTTATGGGCACTTTGCATATGATGTGATTTTGCGTTTTTTTATCGAATTCAACACTTTGCTGTTCTTACCGAATACGAAACCGTCCATAAGAAGCAGAACAGCAGGTAGCGAAAAAAAAACCAGGCAGATTGAGAGAGAGAGAGACACAAATTTTTTCATGATCAAAGTTTAATAAATATAAACAACAATCTGATATTTAAATATTCTTGTTGTTTTTTTGTTTTAGCATAACATCATAACAAATCGTGATGGCAGGGGTAAATCTTTTTTTTTTGTGAAATCTATTTCTATAAATATCTATTTTAGACAGAGAAGAAACCCCAGTTGAGTTTTATCGAAAACTTTGCACTCAGTGGTGTTGCTGCTGTTGTCTCAAAAACAGCAGCTGCACCTATTGAACGTGTAAAATTACTCGTACAAAATCAAGGCGAAATGCTTAAACAAGGGGTAATCAGTCGTCCTTACAATGGTGTTATTGATTGTACCATGCAAACATTCAGAAATGAAGGCTTCTTTCCATTTTGGCGAGGCAATTTGGCTAATTGTATCCGATATTTTCCTACTCAAGTTTGTTTCGATTTATAGTATAAGAAAAAAAAAATTATTGAAATTTTTTTTTTGCTCTTTTTAGGCTTTAAATTTTGCCTTCAAAGATAAAATTAAAGTAATGTTCAAACAAAAAAAAAGTGATCCATATTTAGTCAATTTTGCTAAAAATGTAGCAAGTGGTGGTGTAGCTGGTGCATTATCATTATGTTTTGTCTATTCACTTGATTATGCACGTACACGTTTAGCTAATGATGTCAAAAGTACAAAGAAAGGTGGTGGTGAACGTAAATATAATGGTCTTGTTGATGTTTATAAAAAGACTTTGGCAACTGATGGTATTGCTGGTCTTTATCGTGGTTTTGTTATATCATGTGTTGGTATTATTGTTTATCGTGGATGTTATTTTGGCTTCTATGATACATTAAAACCAATTTTACTCGGTCCAGATGCTGGTATTATGTTATCATTTTTACTTGGATATGGTGTTACAGTTACATCAGGTCTTATATCATATCCAGTTGATACAATTCGACGACGTATGATGATGACATCAGGACAAGCTGTTAAATATAAAGGAGCATTAGATTGCACGTTCCAAATTTTACGTAATGAAGGTGTTATGGCATTATTTAAAGGAGCTGGTGCCAACATTCTTCGAGGTATTGCTGGTGCTGGTGTATTATCTGGTTTCGATAAACTTGTACAGCTTTATGCTGGCATTAAAGTTGATACCAGCGGTGGTGGTTAAGAACAATCAAATGAAATGAAACAACACATCACATACAAAATCATCTCACTCAGACTATCCTTTACTATCCATTTACTTCCTTATGACTATATTTTGCTCGCCTAGTGCGAAAAAGAGTGTAGATTCCTTCATTATCTTTTATTTTAATGTAGCAAATTGTCGTTTTTTCTCTCTCTCTTTCTCTTTTTTGATTGTGTGCAGTTGTAGTCGCAGTAAATGCTTGCGTTTACATTTCTTCTTTGTATAACATCAGGAAAAAAAAAAGAATAGCAACAAAACATCCATTGTTGATCTAGGTTCAAATTTTTGTTTTCTTTTTTTTGTCATTTCTTAAATATCCTTGAATTTTACAGAATAGAAAAAAAAGAAATCAACAATGTACACCAGATAACGTTCTCTTTTTTTTTAGAAAAAAAAATAAAAAACCAAAAAAACACACATATACACAATGTTGAATTTAGATAATAAAATTTCATATTTATTATTCATGAAAAATGTTTGATAAACGTAATGTCGATTAATAAACAAACTATTTTATATGGTTTAAATTCAAAAGAATCAATTAATTCAACACCAATAATGTTTTCACGTGATTCATCTATGGAAACATTATCAAGTTTTAATATTAATTTTCATTCACATAATTCAACATATACATCAGAACATAGTACAAATCCATCAGGAATTTTATCTCCAAGTGATATACCAGATTCACCACCACGTGGTTCAGATGATGATATTGATACAATTGAACAACAAAAAACATTAATTCAACCATTAAATTTAACTCGTTCAACTGGTATAACAGTTATTGAACGAACAGATAATTATCTATATAACGATAACGATGTTGATAGTATAAGAAATTATGCTACATCACCACAAAGAATATCCTATGATGATAATAATGATGATGATGATGATAATAATTCAATTCATTCATCATTAAGTTCATTAACATTACCATTACCACCATCATCATCAACATCAAAAACATTATTATCAAATATAAATGATTTAAGAAATTTAAAACATAATTTAAGTATTATTAATGAAGAAAGTTTACATGAACAAAATGAACGACAAAAATCATCATTTGATATAAGTAATACAACAATAACAACAACTGATGATGATGAAGACGACGATGAAGATCAAAAAGGTAAACGATTATTATTTGAACTTATTCGACAACGTTTACCACATCATCATATATCATTAACAAATACATCAGATTCATCATCAAAAACTAATGATATTGATATTCAAGATAAATCAAAAGGAACATCATCAACATCATCATCATCAATTAATGATCAGGTAATATTTTGTAATATTATTGTAATGTTTTACTAATCGTATGAAAATATTTATCTAATGACAAAAAATCTTTTTCATATTGTTTCGTGAAATTAAGAATTTTCTGATCGTAAAGTTGTTTTATCGTAGCTATGTTGAATGTATGAATGATCTTTATTTAATTCATCAATCATTACATATAAGTTTGGATCAGAGATGACAATATTTACACTAAGTCAGTGGTACCACCCACTACTCCAGGTATGTGTGTGTGGGAGTCGAGAAGGTCAATTATCGTCGCCCACACTCATACTCGTTAATCGAAAATATTTTTCTTGCTTTCCTACTGATAATAACATTCGTTGTAAAGATGTCGGATAATGTCATTACTGTTTAGTTTATTTCTTCTTATCCAAGGCAAGGATTTCTTTAGTAAAATTATGAAATTGTTCAGAAATGAAAAAATTATGTCGATGAAACTGAAAGATACTGGAAAATCCTATTGTTTCCTTTTTTCGATATTAATGAGAAAAAAAAATCATTTTAGACTATGCGTGAAGATTCTTCCAATCATGCCTTATCATCACATGATATCACAATACCTTCATCAGCAATGCACGAAAGTGGTTATGATAGTTTATTACCAATTGGTTCAGCTCCAAAACGATCTTTATCAAATGCATCACTTTCAACAACACGTTCATTAATAGTCAAGAAAAAACATCGATGTGATGAAGAGAATGATGATCCAATGAATGGTAATAATAATAATAATAATAATAATGGAGAATTTATTGATGATGACGATGATGATCATTATGATAAAAAAGCTGGTGAAGCACTTTTACGTAATCTTATTGCTCAAGTACTTCCATCATGTAAGAATTTATATTTCAAATAAGATAATAATATTTTAAGGTGTTTTTTTTCTAGTCAATCCTCGATATTTAAATGGTGGTACTGAGGATGATGAAGAAGAGGAAGATGAAGTTATAAGTAATCCTCGTCGACCATCACCAACAAGTCAAACATATAGTAGTAGTAATGCATCATCAGTACGTTCACTTGATATTGAAATGGAAATGAATAAAAAAAGTGAAAAAAATCTTTGTATTCGTTCAAATAAAAATCATATTCCAGATATAATTCAACAAGAAAAGGTACATTCTTTTTTATTTTTCAATTAATTTATTTTAATCATATGTTTTTTTTATTCAGATTCATTCCAAACGTACATATATTCATAGACCTGTACATCAAACAAAATCATCTGAATTACGTCGTCTTCAAACACATTCACGTCGATAAAAAAAAAAACAACAAATATTTTATGACATTTACTTCAGTATATACAATCAATTTTTTCTTTTTTTTTTGTTTTGTAAAAAGTCAGATCTGTCTCATTTTTATGTCAGATATTCATCTTCTAATAATTGATTGAGTCATAGGTAAAATTTGTTTATTAATTTTTGAACAAAAAAAAAACAATAAACCGTCATATCTTTCTTACAAACGAAGTCATTTTTTTTTGTTGTTGTTGTTGTTGATTTTTTTTTCATATTCAATTAGTGTATATCGAATTTTTTTTTCGTAAAAGAGAAAAATAAATATTGGCTAAATTAAATATGGCAGACTGTATAAAGCGTAAAACGTAAAAACTATATGCGTAATTTGCCAGTGGTTTGATACAGTAGAAGAAAAATACGTAAATACATGAATCATCGATAGGCAAGAAATGAAAACAGAACAGAGCGTTAATGATAAGATAACCTAACAAAAGAAAACATAAGTATTAATATCATACTAAAAAAATTAAATAGAGTACAAACATCTTAGAAGAGTTATACTTGGCGTACATTTTTTTTGTAATTTCTAAACTAGTTTTTAATCCAAATTTTTAATATAAAATTAACATACAAGCAGAAAGGATTCATGTAAACGATAGCATTAGTTGTATTCAATAGCTAGACGAACAACGAAAAAAATAACTAAAATAGGAAATTTAATAATTTCTGTTCATTATATATAATGAAAGGAGAAAAAAAACATTTTCGAATAGGACACAAGATTTCATTTAAAGACAATACAAAAAATGTGTTATCAAAAAGTATCTATTAGCCATTTTTTTGTTTGATTTTTTCAAAACGATGTTCATATCGTATCTACTCAACAACAATAAGTCTTTTCTGTTGATTAAATAAATGATACAAATATTTTTGTGTATGTACAGTAATTTTAATCTTTTTCAATACTCAAAACTTGTAACATTTATGTATGAAAAAAATTTGACAGACATAGTACTACATCTTATGAACCAGATATATTAAGACCTGAATGTATTTATTGATAAGTTATCAGCTCAAATCGATATGAACTTTGTCATGCGTATATAAAGTTCAGAAAATGTCTACAGGTCACAGTAAATAATGTTAATATTAGGTTGTATTTATTGCAATATGAAAGTAAACTAATTGACATGTATCTTCAATACGTATGAAGTTAGTTAAATTCAGATACCATCTTACTATTATATACATCGTGTTCATTTTTTTATTATACTTATGAGAATATTATTGATGTATGAGTTTTCAACTTAACAATTGCTAAGTAAAACATAATTTATAGTATTAATCACACGTAAAATAACGACCTCTAATGAATATATGTCTGATAATATCAAATAAGAAAATGAATTTTATATTTCTAATCAATATTTTAAATGTAAAATAATCTTCATTTAATTTATTTCAATATGAACAAATTATGAGCTTTATCATACATTAGAAAAAGAAACAGATGTCTTATATTTTTCATTCAATTTTAACCTTTGTTTAAATTTTCAATTCACATTCTTAATGAAAAAAAACATAACGTATAACATTGATAACTTATCATCAATATGTTTGACGTCTCAATTATCAAATAAAAGAAACTCGACATTCATTGTTGTTCATATCATATATTGATAACTTCGAAATAAAAAAAGAATATTATGATAAATGTTTTTTTTTCTCTTTTATTAATGTAATAAGCATTTCGATTTCGAATACTATCATTTATTAATCTAACAGAAATTTATTTCAAATTTAATTTTTAAATATAATTAGAATGAAGAACAACAAAAAAATTGTTTCTTCTAATAAACCTTTATTATGACAAAAAGAAAAAAATTTTTTTTTTCGTTCTTTATTTATTTTATTTTTGCTTACTTTCTTTTCTTTGTTTCAACAAAATATCCACAAAACAACAAAAGAAAATGTATCAACGAAAAAAAAAAAAAACAAAACAAACAACGATTCTGTTTGACCTGTTGTCTGTGTTTTTTTCCTCTCAATGCAGTCAATTAGATGTCTACAAAAAAAAAAAAAACATGGAGAAATAAACATTTCACGAGTATAATAATATCAACTCGTGTTTTTTTGTTTGTCTGACTTTACAATATACACAACACAGGCGCATTCAGACAGACAGCAAAATCAAGAAAAAATTCATATGCGTATACACACACATATATATGTATATATATATATAAAGCATGACGTGAAAATTAAAGAATAGTTTAATAATAACTCAAAGAGTTCGTTTGTTTTATTTCTTTATGCTTTTTGTTTTGATCCTGGAGCAAAACGACCACCGGCACCACGAACACGATTCATTGCATGTCGATGACGGGATTCATGAAGAAATTTACGCTAAAAAAAAATCATCATAATTTTAATAATAAAAATTAACAAGTCTTTTTGTTTTTGAAAATTTTTTCTTTACATACTTTACGTTCACGTGGAATTCGTCCTTCAGCTTCAAGTTTAGCACGAGCAGCACGTCGTTTTAATATTCGATTATATTGTTTAGCATTTACATACAATGGTTCTTCTTCTGTTGGTTCAGATGCAATAGTTGTCTGTGTTGGTCCTGCTGTTGATGTTGTTGTTAAGCCACTGGTTTGCATTTGAACAGCTTGTAATTGTCCTGCATTACCAGGTACCATCTATTAATAAAAAACAAAAAAAAACAAAGAAAAAAAATAATTTCTTTTTTTTGCATTTACCATAATAACAGTTCCATTTTGTGGTGTTCCTTGTGTTTTAGTTGGTGTTGATAATTGTACAATTTGTTGTCCATTACCACCAAGTTGAAGAGCACCAGCTGGAATCGTTATGGTTTGTGGTTGTTGTGATGTTTGAACACTACTTAATTGTAAAACTAAAAGAAATTAAATAAAATAAATATTCAAATAATTTATCTTTATTTTTTTTACTTTGTCCACCGACTTGTACATATTGTGGTTGTTGTGATTGTGGTTGTTCAGCACTTTGTAATATAATTAATTGTCCATCAGCTGTTTGAAGAATTTGTCCCTGTGGTAATGTTGTCGATGTTGGTGATCCACTTGTTTTAAGAATAATCTTAATAATATGAAGAAAAAAAAATATATAAATAATATTCATTTATAGATTAAAGTTTTGACTTCTTTTTTCTTTGATATTCTAATAATTAATATTTATGTGTTTAATTCCTTATGATGGTGAATTTAAAAGAAAAATCTTATGTTTTTTTTTTGACGTACCTGTTGTCCATTTCCAAGACTTGTTCGTTGTTGCATTAAATCATTATTATTCAATGTAATAACATTTCCACCCGTGGTTCCTGATGAATTTTGTTGAGAACCAGATGAATCCATTTTTTTTTAGACGGACTATTCAAAAAAAAAATCAAAAATCAGAATCAAAATAATGAAATTTTTTATAGATAATAAAATCGAAAATTCTGAAAAATTGTTTTTTTTCGTTTTTATTTTGGAATATACCTCATTAAAAATGGTTTTGGATTATTTTCAATCATTGTCAATATCATTAATAAGAATTTCCTGATGTCATTTTTATTTTTATGCTTTTTTTTCACTGTATGTTATGTTCTGTTTTTTTTCTCTTCTCTCTGTCTCAAAATCAACTGGTGGGAATCGGACAACCAACCCGAGCTTCGTTGCTACTTACATTGGTCGCAAATGGTCCAACTAGAGCGAGATTTTCACTATTGGCGCACAATTTGGTTAAGTTTCCACCAGCCGGTAACACGGAGAAGGAGAGAGAGAAGAAAAAAAAGAAACGACGTCGTTAACAATGAAGTGTGTATGTGTAAGGGTATATAATTGGTCGATGGGCTTTAGTTTTCTTTTCTTCATTTTTTCTCTTTCGTTCTGTATGTTTCTCTATCGAACCCCGACAGCTTCGTCGTCGATAGTAAAGCGAGTGCACTCGTTTAGTGTATAACATCGGCAGCAAAAACGACATGTAAAAAAAAAAGTTTGACTCGACGGAAGCAGGCAACAGCGAGTCGGTCATAAGAAGAAACAAGAAGAATATGTGTTGGGAAGGAAAAAAAAGAAAAGAAAGAATGATAGATCGGCCAAAAGACCTACTTCTCTTTATACATAAAAATGAAAAAGAATAGTTAACTGACAAACTCGATACTTTTCTATATTATTATGACAATCTTGTATTTTCGACATATTCATAAAACATTGCTTGGCAATGTATAAAAGAATTTGAATAGAATATTTATGTTTTTGAATGAAGGAAGCAAGAAAAATGTACAAACATAGGTTTTTTTATATTCTTAACACATAATATAAAGTATTCTTGCAATGATTAATATAGTAAGAAGAAAAATCTACAAGTTATATTTAGAAATGATAAGGAAAAATGATTCTTATTACAATGAAACATGAGAAGAAGAAATTTTTAACATTTTTTTTTTATTGTAAACTCACATTTCTATTAATCGTAATTTTGAAATTAATAAAACTTAATAAATAGAGATTAAAAAATTTTCTTCCTTATATTAATGACCAATGTTTGAAAATTGACTGAATTTGATATTTATACACGTTCTAGGACAAGAAATTTAATTTAATCTTTTTAGTATAAAGATTTATTAGTACTGAAGTTGTTTTCAAAATATTCTTAAAAGTTAATAGAACCGGTCATTGCAGAAATAATATATTGCATAGTCGAAATATTAGTGTAGTTTAATTTCGATATGATTAAATGATAGAAGCAGGAAAACGATTGTAAAAATATCATATACGTTCAGTCGATGATTCGAACAATATTTTCTTAAATTTTCTTATGAGATTATCCTGAATTATAACTTAATTTGTATAAAGAGATTTTTTTTATAAACGTCTTTTGTCTTGTAATTCTGTCAAGTTCGATTGTTCATAAAGTAGCAATCTCTTGCATTTGATTAGTCTTTTTTTATTTATGACAATCGATAACAGAACGAGTATTATATTGAATAATTAAATCATCATGTTGAATATATTTTATGTTGTGTTATTAATTTTTATTATCAATTTAAAACAAAATAAAAATAAAAATAAAACATTATCAGAATTTCTCAGAACGTCAATTGTTGATTGATTCAACTTTCAATAATTCATTAATCAATAGGACAATTCAAAAAATAAAAATCTTTTTCATTTCTGCATTACTCTACTAAAGTTTTTTTTTTCCATATATCCTATGTATTCCTCATTAAATAAGTAAAATAAAAGATATAGATAAAATAAATTGACATAAAATATAGTATTTATTCAAAAGATTAATAAATCTCATCAATGAAAAGAGCCAGTTATTATATTTTTATGAAACCTTATTTGTAAACACTTCAAAAGTGCACGTGTACAACATGAAAAACTGCATATACTATTTTTCAATCAAATTTATAATAAGAAAGTTCACAAATTTGTAGATATAATCATTTTATTGATCTCAAAAGGAGTCGTATCTAGAAATATTTGGGATCAGTTCCGATTCCAGTGGCCAAGACTACAAGAAAAAAATTTGTGAAGACTGCGACTCAAGTTGATAGTAAAGTATTCTATAGTTTTAAGCAAACGATCTTATAAATCATGTCAATCAGATTATAATTCAAGAGAGATGACTCAAAAAGGTGCTAGTCATCGACTAGATAAATAAAAAAAAAACAATTTAATGACAGATGCTCCCACGACAGTTACTCCCGGACAGTTACTTCTCTTATCGACATCAACACAAAAAAAAATAGAGCTTGTCTTTTCATACGCTTTTAGTATGTATATTTACTATTGTTGTTTTCTTTCAACATAAAATCAAATAATAATTTCTTATTCATTTTAAAATAAATGAAATATGATTATTATATAATTGAGTAAATTTCTAGCAAATAACCAATATATGATACTATATGACACAAAATATCTTAGTATATCATATGTTGACTAAAATAATCTAATAATAAACATCGTTAGTTGCGATCAAATTTCTAAGAAAGAAAACTCTCAAGAAATTTTCACTAATAAATATATGTATGCAATAGAAAATTTTGATTCAATCTTTTGTTTGACTTTATTATTGTCTTTTATGTTTATTTTTTTAAAATTATTTGTTGTTGATTTAACGCTTTATCTACGATAAGATCTAAGGATACAGGCAACTTATGAAGAAAGCAACTATAGTCAAGTACATAAAACAATGAGTAAAGATAAAATGAATTATGAGCAATGATTTGCATATAGAACTAGGTTGATAAATATACATAACATCGATAAACGAATCACTTGAAAAACAAGCAGAGTTATACAAGCATGATGTATAGCTGGAGAGAAGGCTTGAACATAATGCTAATACTTGAGAGCTGTAAAGAATTCTTTAATTTCATTTCTTGCTTGAATCTTATATCGAAATAATTCTGACAAGAAAAAAAAAGATTAAATAATTGATTATAACTAAAATATAAAAAATATATTAAATCAAACAATTAATTAGCAATATCAATATGTATTTCTCATTAACAAGAATATATATGCACTTCATATAAAGAATCATTTGTTTTCTTTGTTAAAATAAAATGTAGATGAATCGTCTGATTTAACTTTGAATTGTAAATGATAATTGTTATTTGTGACATAAATATTATTTTTAATATATCAGTAAATGAACATCTGCCTGACATAAGTCATCATTAACAATTAATTCATTTTTTACTAATTACAATAAAGAAAATTGAGATTATAATAATAGTAAATTTTTTCTTTGACTCTCATTGCATGTTATTGATATATGTTCTAATGAATTACAACGTAAAACACGATACGAAATTCTTTAATTGTATTATAATGACTCCAATCGGAATGACATAAAAGATTATATGTTATTTTTTTCTTTTATTCCACTTTCTTTTTTTTTTATTCATCTTTTCCTTTTTTTTAGTGATAGATATAAATGGCATTTAGGTGCATATTATATGAAAAGTCATTTCTGAATTTAGACTAACTCGTAAGCCAAACAATTTCTTAGTAATTTGTGTCAAAAGAACTCATACTTTGACATATTATTGTCATTTAAATTGGGAAAAATAAGATAGACAGTTTGTATCCTCACTTAAAATCAAACTTTATTAGATAAAATTAGTCTGGAATTTGAATATAAAACGAACGTTTTCATGAAGTCTGCTCAGATTAAAAAAAATTTATTAACGGTAGGTGTACTAGAGACAAAGGTATTGTAAATTTTCTTATTTTTTGAGTAAAGATGAAAATGAACAAGAAAGGATTTTTATTCGTGCGTTATTCAATTGTTTTCTATATATGTGTGTATGGTTTATTGATGAGCGAACAAATTTTTTCTTTTAATCTTTTCATATTTGTTCTACTCGACTTTTTTTAGGAATGTTAAGGATTGAAGACAAAATAAAAAGATTTTTGATAAAAAAAGAAAAAATATCTATGATTTATATTATTTGTAGGTTAATTCTTAATCTTACAAAAGCATTTATTATCACGATGTTGAAATTAATCTGTTCATTCATGGCTCTGCTTGTCATCATGTCAATTTTACATTTAAATAAGGTTGAAAGTCGAATAATTCTTCAGGTTAATAGATTAATTTATAAAAAAAGAATAATAAATCTCTTTCTCTCTCTCTCTATATGTTATTTTAAGGATTATAAAAGTATACCAGGTTCTCAACTTCATCACCTTCATTTTAATGATGATCAAAGCGATGAAAAACATCATAAAGAAATTGATCAAAATAAAAATACACATATCAAACGAAAAAGTGATTTTCTTTTATCTTTATATGGTTTACCATATACTCTTGTCAACAATTGAAAAGCTAATTAAATACAAAAATATCAATATTGATTAAATCTATGGTACAAATTCTAAACTTTTATTATTCCCATTCTTTTATGTTGTGTATATTAAAACAAAATAATTGAATTATATCGCGAAAAAAAAAGGAAAATCATATAATATTTATTTGAAATAAAGGTGTAAAAAAGCATAATCTATCCATATCATGCACAAAATGTATATAAATATTAGAGGGATCTATTTTATCATCCTCGCCCATGCCATATGGTAAAACATATGGTAGCTACAAGTACAGACGTTGTTGTAATGATATTTAATCTAATAAAAAAAGAAGACCAGTGATTCTTATTTAGAATAAAAAAATCATTGATGATCTCTTACATTTTATTAAAACTTCCTGCTGCATCATATATATTATCTTCAAAACCACCATATATTGAGGCATATTCTTCAGGTATTGGACCACCACAGCAATATGGTGTACCTTTGTCATCTAAATTATATTCGTATAGATAGAAACAGCATAAAATAAAAGCTATTAACGCAATCTCTACAGGATTAAAATATGAAACACGATGTAGCTGCTGTTGCTAATCACAAAAGATTGATTTATCTATCTGTTTTGAAACACATCTCTTCATTATTCTTTTACTTAATCATCCAGAAATGCAATAAGCAAGTAATTGATACATTAGAACGAGACATTATTGATATATAATCTTTTAACAATGCCTGCGACAAAAAGAAGGACTTTCCTAAGGTGTCTGTCACGATCTGTGGATGTTCAAATTTTTACCCTTATACTTCAATATTTATGTTTTACATCATATTTCACAAAATAAATATACTTACCTTCACAACAATTATCAGCTTCACTTGTTTTACATTCAATTTCAATTGGACATTTTACTAATTCACCTGATATATTACATGTACCAAAGCCTTCAGCACTCAATGTTTTGTTGACTAACGTTGTATTGAGGTCTTCTTGAATACAGTAAAAAACGGTTGGTGGTTGCCCATCTACTTTTTCAGGAGGCGTATCAACAGCAGGTGGATAACCATATTCTTCTGAACAAACAATTCATTGTTCTATGATCATATCATCTTTTTCTACGTACCATATGGATAATACCCAGAACCTTGACGATAGTGACTACCACCATAATAACCCACACCTGCATACATACCTTTGCTATATTTTCGTCTTTGATAATATCGTTTGCCATAGCGAACAGCATGTGGCAAAAATTTTTTTCCTGATCGAACCTTAATAAAAATAATAAAAATAATTGATATATAATGAACATTTTAAAAACAACTGTATTTACCCAAACATTACTACTACTACTACCACCTCCTGTTCCAAATCCACTAGCACCACCTCCAGATGTAATTCCTCCTAAGAAAAAAGAAAAAGATAAATACTTTTTCAAAATAATTATTAAAGATATCAGTGGCTTACGAAATTTATCACTGAAACCAGGTTTAATTCCACTTGTACCTGGTAATACACCAGTAGATGGGATTCCTTCAAAGAAAAATAGAAATATTTCATAACAATTAAAGTAAAATATTCTACCAGGCTTTTGTGATGGCGAATGTCGAAACATTGATCGTATTGCTGCACGAACACGATGTTGTCGACCGGTATTCGATGATATTGCAGATCCTCCAAATTCTATTGCATAGATGATATAATCTACTATTGAATAAATTTCATTTTAACTCATAGTTACTTGAACTTGATGGTGATGCTCTTTGTCCTATTGATCGAATACCTTGACGTACCCGACTTCCAGTATTACTTGATGATGAACCTATTAATGCTAATATATTTTTTTTCTTGTTTTATTTTTGTTTTTATACTGACCAGAAAAAATTCGAGAACCACTGCCTGATGAGGATGATGATCGACTACCTAAATTTTCGTTTATTTAAAATCTTCGTATTTAAAAAAAATAGTCTTACCACCCCAAAACCGTGAACCACTGCTACTACTTCTAGTACCGCTACTACTTCTACTAAAACTACTACTAAATCGACCGCCAGATGAACTACTTGAACGGCCACCACCCCCGCTACGACCACCACCACCACCGCCACGACCACCACCACCACCGCCACGAC